TCTTCACAGGATGTACTGGAAGTCGATGTACTGTGCTTTGTGGGCTAACGTGGCAGCCAATTTGCACACAGCAATGTCCCTCAAACAGCCATGAGGTGAATGATCCACATTTTAGTTTCACAAGTGATTGTGGAGTCCTGTAGCTTAGTGGTTAGAGCACTCGCTTTGCAGGCAGGGCGAAACCTTGGGCAAGTTTCCTTACTCCACACAGAGCCTAATAATAATCCTCCAAAACAAAAAACATTAATAAATTGGTCAGTTTCAATCTACGACAGTTTGTAGGACACTGCTGTGCGCAATTGGCTGCCGCGTTCGCCCACAAATGTATAATCAATTCACTTCACAGTGTGTTCTGTGAAGCGCTTTGGGACGTCTAGACGTGAAAAGCGCTATATCAAATGCAAGGATTATTATTATTATAAGGAACTCGTTCTTGCAGTGAGAAGCAGTGCTCTCTCTGGTTGAACTTCCATTTTCATAGGGTTGAGCAGCGTCTTTGTGTCTCAAAGCCCTGCTAGAATTTTTCAGGGATCTTTACAGGAAGTTGGTACCAAATTTTGACACAATGATAGGTTTGGCCCAGATATTTTGCTAGCAGAATAACCACAAGTTGTCTTTGCCTTAAAACATATTGAAAGAAAAAAAGTCATATGATATTTCTATTTATAATCCCTTCCTACGTATTCTCAGTGGCAATTTTTTTATTTACAGTCATTTCTTATTCAGTCCTGCTGAACAATAATTGGATTTTGAACTTCAGGAGAGACCTTACAGGAAAGGGAAATAAACATAACCTTGGTATTGGGAATACAGGGATGATGGCTCAGGATCAAGGCAGGGAGGGAAGACTTCCGTAGTTTAGTGGTCAGAGCATTCACCTTGAAAGCGAGAAGTCCTGGGTTTGATTCCTGGCAGGGTGAAATGTTGGGCAAGTTTCCTTACTCCATACATCTCTGTTTACCTAGCAGTATAGGAACCTTGGTGTTAATTGATTGGCAGATCACTTTTCTGGGGTAGTAATCCCTTCCAAAAAAAAGACAATTTGGTCACTTAATCCATGGCTGTTTGTGAGACACTGCTGTGTGCAATTGGCTGCCGTGTTTCGCCCACACAATATACAGTCAATTCACTTTACAATATATTCTGTGAAGCGCTTTGAGACGTCTTGAAGACTCGATAAGGCGCTATATCAAATGCAAGGATTATTATATTATTATATGATTAAGAGAGGTATTCTGTTCAGATCTGAATGTGCACTTAAAGTTCTGAGCGATACAGAAATGCCAAATTAACTTTTGCTCTTTCCTACCTTGTGTTCTTAATGGAAATTCTGAGAAATAATAATAATAATAATAATCCTTGCATTTGATATAGCGTTTTTCACGTCTTCTAGATGTCCCAAAGCGCTTCACAGTACTGTAAAGTGAATTGACTGTATATTTGTGGGCAAACGCGGCAGCCAATTGCGCAAAGCAGTGTCCCACAAACAGTCATGGATTGAGAATGACCATATTCATATATATATTCATATGTAGGGGTGAGATTTGTGGCATTTCATTCTGATAAAAATCCTTGTATTTGATCTCATTAGTGCTTCAGAATTCTTCTACAAAATGGAGTGTCTGTATTTCTGTAGTTTAATGCGGCAGCCACTTTGCGCACAGCAATGTCCCACAAACAGCCATGAAGTGAATGATCAATTTTCTATCAGGGATTGTTGGTGAAAACGTAGGGCAAAACTCTTTTCTCTTTTTGGTGTCCATAACATATACTTTGCTGTTCTAACTGTTCAGTGAACACTGGCCTGCTTCATGTCCCCCACCCATACCGCCTTTACCCTTGCTGGGCAAACTTTCTGCCATCTACTCCAGCTCTCTGAAACTCCATCCCTCTGACTCGCCGCCTTTCTCCCCATTTTTAAAATCTGCCTTAAAACCGGACCTTCCTTCTCGATGCGCATTTGGTCACCTTTCCCCTCCTCTCCCACCTTCCTCAGGTTCCCCCACCCCCCAGCTCAGACTCCCAGCTCTGTGAAGGATTTTCATATGTCCTCCTGACTTGAAAGGCGCTACATAAATGTCAGGTTGTTGCTGTGGTTAAGTCATAGCTATCTGAAATGTAGTGTTTTCCCCATACTTACATTATTCCTTTGTCCTCTGCTCAAATAGGCTTTGCCGAGTTACAGAGTTCGCTAGAGTTTGTGTGTTCCATCTCTGACCGCGTTTCAACAGCAAAATATAAGGTCAATTCACTTTACAGTATATTCTGTGAAGTGTGTTTAGACATCTTGAAGACGCGTAAGGCACTATATCAAATGCAGGATTATTATTATTAGTAGAGCAACCAGAATTGCTTGTCAAAAACTAAAAAATCTGTGCACCTGAAATCTCTGAGGTCTAAATGGTTTTGTATAAATCACTGTAAATGATTTACCGGCAACGCTGGTTTACTGTAATTGTACATATGGTTATGGCTTCCTGTGCTGTATTATATCTAAGACAATTGTTTGGAAGTTTACTGGGGATCTCTGAACATTTATGCTCATCAATCGTGGTGTGCATGGAGCAAAGATTTTAGTGCTTCCTTTACATCTCATTTCTGATGTAGGTGGACAAGAAAACATAGACGCTGACAAGCTAATCTTCTTATTTATAAAATATTCATTCAGACCCTCAGAACTGCCACTCGATAACCAATCTAGATGTTGGCCCCAGTTCACCAATTGTTTGTTAGTGATACAGTCAGAATGTTTCATTCCTGGTGAGGTCGATAGTTACAGAGTCAGAGGCTATTACAATTATAGAGACCATTAGACTCGAGGAATTTGACTGACATTTAATGCACATAGAATAAAACTTTTTAGTTTTCAGGTTGTCCCCAGTTTCCCAAATAAACAGCTGCCAAAGGACTGTCAGCATGTGGCATAATTTTCAGTTAATGCCAGCGTCAGACTAAATGCTTGAAATCAATTACTTTCCTAATGGCCTTTCTGAATAATGCAGACACTGATCTCGAGGAGCCTTTGTTATTAAATAGGTCTTTTTAAATGTATTTCCACTTCGGCTCCATATCATGAATGGCTATCCCTGCAATAGTTTTGTGTTTTTGCTCAAACTGAGTTTGGGATTCTGCCTTTAGGGATGGTTAACTTAATTTTAAACTCTGCCCTCCCCTCATTTCCCCACTTCCATCCTCAAATTAGCATGAACTTCTTTTAATCAATAGGGTAAAAAATATTCTGGTGTCTTTTGAATACAAGAATGAATGATGAACTGTTTGGAAATTATATTCTGAGCCATGCTCTCACTGCTGTGTGTTCCTTTGGCTTGAACAACAACAGCAACAACAAGATTACATTTGTATAGCGCCTTTCACGTCGGGAGGACATCCCAAGGCGCTGGGCAGTGTGCAGCATTTCAGACTGGAGCTGGTGTCAGGGGGGGAAGGGGGAGGAGGGGAAAGGGGGTGGCCGATGGCATGCTCGAAGAGGAGGGTTTTGAGGTGGGACTTGAAGGAGGCTAAGGAGGGGGCGAGGCGGAGCGATTGGGGGATGGAATTCCAGAGGTTGGGGGCAGAGTGGCTGAAGGCTTTCCCGCCAATGGTGGGGTGAGTGGGTCGGGGGACGTGGAGCAGGCCAGAGCCGGCTGAGCAGAGGGAATGAGCGGGTTGGTAGGGGGTTAGGAGGTCGCAGAGGTAGAGTGGGGCGAGACCATTGAGGGCTTTGTAGGTGAGGACCAGGATCTTGAACTGGATCATCTAAAGGTTAGGGAGCCAATGGAGCCGAGCGAGAGTGGGGGAGATGGGCTCACGGAGTTTGGTGGGGAGAGGACACGGGCTGCAGAGCTCTGGATTATCTGCAGCCTGTGGAGGGAGGAGTTGGGAAGGCCGACAAGCAGGGCATTTGCATTTTTGAGCCTGGAGGTGATGAAGGCATGAACAAGAGTTTCTTGAAGGTGAGAGTGTCCAGATTAAAAACACAGGCAATGGGTTGCAAACAAGGTCTTCAGGAAAACATTACTTAATGTGACTGTTTCCTTCACAAGATCATAAGAGTTCACAAGAGAGGTTTGGACAAGTGTAGGAAGTGCTCTGAGATGCTACCCTGTGTGAAGGGTACTATATAATGCTAGTTGCTGTTATTGTAGGAACCAGTATAGGTAATTCGACCCATTGAACTTGTTCATCCATTATTATTAATAATAATTATTATTATTAGAGCACTCGCCTTGCAAGCGAGACACCTGGGTTCAATTCCAGGCAGAGCGAAACCTTGAGGGAAGTTTTCTTACTCTGCATGCCTTATAATAAACCCTCCAAAAAGCAAAACAATAATAAATTGGTCATTTTCAATCCACGACTGGGTGTGGGACACTGCTGTGTGCAATTGGTTGCCACATTTCGCCCATAAATATACAGTCAATACACTTTACAGCATATTCTGTGAAGCACTTTGAAACATCTAGAAGAAGTGCTCTATCAAATGCAAGGATTATTATTATTATTATTATTAAAAGACATTTCTGATCAACGAACAAAAAGTGTGGGGAAAGAAACTGAGTGTTAGTTTTTCCATCCTTCTATAAAGTTGAAGTCTCTCTTCTGACAAGATGTTCCATTGAGTTGTCTGACCAGCATTGACCCCCGTTCCCTGCTTGGGTTCTAATCCCTGACTGTTCAGTTCCTTGGGATGTCCTCCCGACGTGAAAGGCGCTTTACAAATGTAATTTTGTATTTTATTGAATAAGCATATCTCAACTTTGGTAACCAAACAAACATCAGGACAGGCAGCCCTGTAGTCATGAAACCGTTCAATCGCAAAGGCAGCAAAATAATCAATGGGTTATCAGTATTCACAATTCTTTCAAAAGGTTTCTTTCAGATAAATTGCAGTCAGTTCCGTGCACTTGAGATATTCACAAACGCCACTCTGTTGCGGTTTTGAAATAAAAAAACGGTCCCAAACCCTTTGTTCATGTGGTGCCAACTGTTTTCTTTTTCAGATCAGAGCTGTGGTGGATTAGTACAAGGACCAAATGGCACAATTGAAAGCCCTGGATTTCCTCATGGATACCCGAATTATGCAAACTGTACCTGGATTATCATTACTGGAGAACGGAATAGGATACAGCTGGTATTTCAGATCTTTGCTTTGGAAGAAGACTTTGACATGATCACCATCTACGATGGTCAACCCCAACAGGGCAATTTAAAAATGAGGTATGGAATGAGTCAGTGGTGACATCGTCCCACAGTTGGCTGTTGCTGCACTCGGCGTTAAACAGCTTGTGATAGATGTGTTCTGAAGCACTTTGTGTGATCTAATGTTCAGCTAAAATAATGCTTTTGCTTCTTACAAGTCATCAGACGCCAAGCTGTTATAATTGAAAAATGAAATATGTCGGTGCTGAAATTTGTGGTGTTTTGATAACACGCTCCTTGTGATGACTGTGGCACATCTGCAGTTTCCCCCTGAAATTTTTTTTTAATACAGTCCTGATGATAAGTTGTTTGACGTTGATATTCTTTTCCAGCATTTATGGGAAATACCATCAGAGACCGAAATCGGCAAAGGTGGTGCACGTGAGGCTAAGTGGAATTTTACCCAATTGTGATATATCATAACTAGCCACTGTTTTATTTGCAATTTATTTTCTCAATACATTTTATTCTCTGTTTTTTTCTCCTTTCAGAAGGGAGAAGAATCCAGGGCCACTCAGATTTTCTCTGTGGGGAAGCACTTAGTTCCATTTGGTGCATAGCAGCATGGTTGAGATTGTAAAATAGAGTGTGGGTACAATCTCATCTCCTATTACTCTGCTGTGAGCGCAATTTGTTTGAAACAATCTGTCTCAAAGCCTATTTAACATTTGGAGGCTGTGACTGTGGCTTGCGCTGTTGTGTTTCAGGCTCTGAAATGATCTTTTGCCATTTTCTGGGAACTTTGGTAATAAGAATTCACATTACTGATGTTAAAAACAGAATATTTTTGTAAGGAAGTGGTTTTGCAAACAAAAAGACCAGCTTTGTTGAAAAATGGAAATTGTTACACTGTTGAATGATTTGAATTCTCAGCAATTGCTCTGTTCCTTCGGCCACCCAACGCTGCCTTGACCCCTGTTTCCCTCCTAACTCGGACCCTCACTCTGTCCATTGTAGAGTGCTTGGAGATGTTCTCCTACGTGAAAACTGCTATAAAAGTGAAAATTGTTGTCATTTGCATTATTTACATTCGAGAAAATCGGTTAAATTATGTGAGTTTCATTAAAATGTGATTATTATATAATTTCTTCTTGTTCACTAGTTATTGCCAGCCTCCGTATGTACTTACCAAATGCCGTATATATACTTATATATACAGGAATGGAGACCTGTAGCTCAGTGGTTAGAGCTCTCGCCTCGCAAGCAAGACACCTGGGTTCGATTCCTGGCAGGACTAAACCTTGAGCAAATTTCCTTACTCCACACGTCTGATAATAATCCCTGAAGAAAAAACAATAATAATTTGGTCACTGAATCCACAGCTGTTTGTGGGACACTGCTGTGCGCAATTGGCTGCCGCGTTTCGCCCACAAAATATACACTCAATTCACTTTACAGCATATTCTGTGAAGCGCTTTGAGACGTCTCAAAGATGTGATGCGGCGTTATATCAAATGGAATGATTATTATTAATAATAATAATAATCCTTGCATTTGATATAGTGCTTTTCACGGCTTCTAGACGTCTCAAAGCGCTTCACAGAATAGACTGTAAAATGAATTGACTATATTTGTGGGCGAAATGTTATTATTATCATTATAATATATACCTCCATATAATTATATGTATTTGTAAATTAGCCCGGCCATAGGGCCATTGGACCTATGGCCGCAATCTTGAAACTTCCTTTGTGGATCTCTGCTTCCATCTGCCATTGTCAAAGCAGATCTTTGATGTAAATAAAAGCAGCAGAGGAAAATGCCTTCTTTAGTCAGGTTCCTGCAGTGGTTCATCAAAATACCACTAACTGGTCCACTGAATTTTACCATACCATTGTGCTGAGGCTACGCGGGAGAGAGGGAGAAAGCTTGTAGTTTCCATGGATATGTGCAGCAATACATTGATGATTGTGACTTTAAACTACATTAGGAGTCGCAAATTTGTAAATTATAACAAAATAATAATAATCCTTACATTTGCCTTATCACATCGTTGAGACATCTCAAACAATTCACTGTAAAGTGTATATTTTGTGGGCGAAAAGACCAAATGACCCCAGCAGCTACAATGAAGGGCAAGATATGTACCCAGAGCATCATTCCAGTAAAAGGAAGAAGTGCCTACTATTTGATTTGTACAGAGCCCTTAGCCCTTAGCTTTTAAGGAAACATTGAGGTCAGGAGGTCCCCTGTGACCTTGTGGGTAAAAGATACTGCAGCACTGGGCATTAAAGACCAGACAGAAAGTCTGTGCGCAGTTAGCTTATTTCAGCAGGAGAAAGGCTTTGGCTTCAGATTGTCTGGCTGGGCTAAGGAGGGCAAAAAAATCACCTAGGTTTTCTGCTCCCTATTACTGTGTAGAGGTCACTGCTGGATGGTCCCATGTGTGGAGGTTGAATGAGGACAGATTATATTTCTCTGTAATGCTTCTCTTGCCTCCTCCTCCCCCAAACCCCACCTTCCGACATGTGAACGCCCAGATTCAAGGCTCTCACGTGTTAAAAGCTGGATGAGGAAGGTGCCAGAGAGTGAAAGGAGAGACTTTGCCCCAGGAAAAGCAAATCGAAGAAGCAAATGCCTTCAGATGGAGAGGGGAGGAGAAAAGTTGGTGAAACCCCGATTAGCTCAAGCCCAACTGAAACAGCAAACCTGATCGAAGTGAGAATTGCACACAGCAGCATGGAACTATGATTGTTTACCAAATCACCTCTCTTATCCATGCCAAGAAACGTCACCTTGAATTTTGGTTAAATTGTCCTTTAATGAAGTGAAATGGATGTCACTGAGGGCAGCTGATCATGTAGAATTAGATCAGACATTGGCCATGCTCTGTGCATGGCATGTGACTGTCTGAATGTAAGATAAGGTGGAGTGAAAGAAAATAAACTGAGGGCTGCACTCCATTAGGAGAGCCAGCACAATCTCCTCTGCATGGATTTAAGCCTACTGTGGATTTAGGCCTTCTAATTTAATAACCTGAGGGGAAATCTGCAAAATGACTTTCTGATCCCCAAAGGTAGTTGATCAAAATTCTAAGTTTACATATCTCCAGGCAGCCATCATGTTCCATTATCATTTCTGTTTATATGTGTAGGTAGAATTGAAAATCAGAACGAGACTGACTGCTTGACCTTGATGGTCTTTTAAAATTCTTACACTTAACGTTGCCATGTTCTGTCTATTCCTATTCACCCTTATTTCCAAAGACAAAATGTTAATTGTTTTTGTAGGAGTCTCGTCTCTGTTGCCCCCCAAATCAATATTCTAATCTCCAGCCTTGTTTGAGGCTTGTTAATTGTTTACACTTTAGTTCTTTGCTCGGAGTGTGACAACAACCACATTAGCTATGGTACATATAGTGTTTAACGAAAAGGATCTGATTCCTCTCAATCTTCCTTTCTTCACTTAAAAGATTTGGAGTTGCATTAATCTCTCTTCATAAACCAGGGCTGTAATTCAGTGTATTATTCTTATTGCTTTTGATCTGAACCCTCTCAAAAATATTGGTGTATCTAATAAACTGATCGCTAAAAATAGTGACCTTACTGTTGGGTCCGTATAATTGGATATAATGTTCTAAATGTACCTTCACCAATGATCTATATAATGCTACAATAATTTTTTTTGTCTTAACAACCAAATGCCCTTGAGATGTGTCATTGCATGATTAACCTTGCTGATGTAAGCTCCACATTAAGTGGAAACATTTAGTGAATCATTCCCTAATCCTTCTTCTGCATTTTGGACAATGGACACAACCTCACTGGGTACACATTTTTCATGTTTACTTTTGCAATGTGTCCTTGGTTGAGACGCCCAATGAAGCCCTAGGTTTGCCTTTTCTGGTGGCTCGGTTAGATATTGAAAAATCCCATATTTTAAGGAGAGTGGAAAGATCTCCAGGATCCAGGCCAAGATTCCAAATTTACTCAGACACAGATTACATTTGTCTGTTCAGCTTGTTCTTCTTTGTGGAATGTTGCTGGTGAATTGTTTGTTTGCCTACAATAAAATTAGTCAATATGAGAATTGGTGACAGATTTAATGCGATTATATATAAAATTTATTTAATATTACAATCTCAATTGATAATTATCAGGTGGTTTTTGCTTTCACCCTCCTGCAATTTGCACAATGGTTGGGTTGGAAGCCATTGGTGTTCACTAGATTGATTCTCTCATTGTTTGTCATTGTTGCTTGTAATGGTGGAGAATGATGTTTTGATGGATTACTAGCCTAATGGATTGTGCCAAAGTTTTTTTTGGGGGTTAGAAGGAGGGGGAAACAAGCAATGTCCCGTAAACAGTAATGGAGTGAGTGAACAATTTTCTATGGGAGATTCTTGGCCATGATACTGGGAGAAACTCCCTTCTCTTTTTGAATAGTGCTACAGGATCTTTAACGTCCACCTGAACAGGCAGGCGAGACCTTGATTTAACTTCTCATCTTCAACAACACAGCACACCTCCAGCATTGCATTGGATTGTAACCTTAGACAATATGAGTTCCAAATCCTGACGTGGAGCTTAAACCCACAACCTTCTGACTCAAAGGCGAGAGTGTTACCAACTGAGCCAGGCTGAAAACACACAAAGATATTCATACTGAAAATACAATGTTTCTTAACAAAGTTGCTGTGAATCAAATCTTAATAATAATCTTGATAAACATTTCATTTTTCACATCAATAAAAAAAGGAACTCTTTCTTATGAAGTCTTCTGGGACATTTTGACCGGATAAGAAGTTATATCAAACGAAAGTATTATTAATAAACTCCATCTGCCATTTCTTATTTATGAGCAAGGCAAATTTTTTGAAAAGAAATTCCATTTGACTCAGCCGAGCTGTGACCCTGAGGCCATCGCTAGCCAGACTAGCTGATTGAAGCATCTCAAGGATAGTGCAGAATTTGTGAGTTACTTACTGAAGGAGAGCATCTGCCTGCAGCTCACTCACTGCGTCTCTCCCCGAAAAATCTAGAGGCCGTCACGAAACAGCATTGACTGACACTGCAGCA